CATCATGCACCACTCATCATGCACCACTCATCATGCACCACTCATCATACACCACTCATCAGACACCACTCATCAGACACCACTCATCATCCAGTTAGCTCTAGCTCCAGTTAGCATCGTGTGCAGATTTCGTGGCAGGCACAGCGCTTTGTGAACCTCCATGTGCAGATTTCGTGGCAGGCACAGCACTTTGTGAGCCTCCATGTGAAGATTTCGTGGCAGGCACAGCACTTTGTGAAGCTTGAGGTGCAGATTTCGTGGCAGGCGCAATACAAAATACGTTTTCGAGAGATAGCGGACGCACGAAATGCTGCGTTTTTCAATAGAAAGGGTGGCTCCGATGCTGGCGAGACGGTATCGGGTCATGGTCGGATCATTTTCGGATCATGGGCGGAATCGTCCCTCCATTGCGATTAGAGTTTTCACTTGTTTCTTGAAGCGCAGATTTCGTGGCAGGCACAGCACTTTGTGAATCTCCGCGCACGCTTCGTGGCAGGCGCAGCACTTTGTGAACCTCCATGCGCAGATTTCGTGGCAGGCGCAGCACTTTGTGAACCTCCATGCGCAGATTTCGTGGCAGGTGCAGCACGTTGTGAACCTCCATGCGCAGGTTTCGTGGCAGGCACAGCACTTTGTGAAACTCCATGTGCAGATTTCGTGGCAGGCGCAGCACTGTGTGAACCTCGAGGCGCAGACGTCGTGGCAGGCACAGCTTTGTGAACCTCCATGTGCAGATTTCGTGGCAGGCGCAGCAGTTTGTGAACCTCCATGTGCAGATTTCCTGGCAGGGCGCAGCACTTTGTGAACCTCCATGTGCAGATTTCGTGGCAGGCGCAGCACTTTGTGCAGATTTCGCCGCAGGCGCAGCACTGTGTGAACCTTCGTGCGCAGATTTCGTGGCAGGCACAGCACTTTGTGAACCTCCATGTGCAGAATTCGTGGCTGGCGCAGCACTTTGTGAACTTTATGTGCAGATTTTGTTGCAGGCGCAGCACTTTGTGAACCTCCACGTGCAGATTCCGTGGCAGGCATGGCGCTTTGTGAACCTCGAAGTGCAGATTTCGTGGCAGGCACAGCACTTTGTGAAGCTGCATGCGCAGATTTCGTGGCGCGCACAGCACTTTGCGAACCTCCACGCGCAGAGTTCGTGGCAGGCACAGCACTTTGTGAACCTCGAGGTGTAGATTTCGTGGCAGGCACAGCACTTTGTGAACCTCCATGTGCAGGCTGAGAACTGCTGACTTTGTAGTACAACTTTAGTACGCGGAGTAGGCTGGAGGGTGAGAACTGGCGACTTTGTAGTACAAGTACAACTTTTTGGTACGGGGAGTAATCTGGCGAGGCGGAGGCTGAGAACTGGCGACTTTAGTACAACTATAGTGCGCGGAGGAACCTTGAGAGCTGGAAGCTGAGAAGTAGTACAACTATCGTGCGCGGAGTACTTGGGGAGCTGGTAGCTGAGAACTGGCGACTTTGTAGTTCAACTTTAGCACGCGGAGCAATATGTGGAGCTGGAAGCTGAGAACTGGCGACTTGGTAGTACAACTTTAGTACGTGGAGTATCTGGGGAGCTGGAAGATGAGAACTGACGACTTTGTAGTACAACTTTAGTACGCGGAGTATCTGGGGAGCTGGAAGATGAGAACTGGCGACTTTGTAGTGCAACTTTAGTACGCGGAGCATCTGCGGAGCTGGAAGCTGAGAACTGGCGACTTTGTAGTCCAACTTTAGTACGTGGAGCAATTCTGTGGAGCTGGAAGCTGAGAACTGGCGACTTTGTAGTACAACTTTAGTACGCGGAGTATCTGCGGAGCTGGAAGCTGAGAACTGGCGACTTTGTAGCACAACTTTAGTGCGCAGAGCAATCTGTGGAGCTGGAAGCTGAGAACTGGCAACTTTGTAGTACAACTTTAGTACGCGGAGTATCTGCGGAGCTGGAAGCTGAGAACTGGCGACTTTGTAGTACAACTTTAGTACGCGGAGCAATCTGTGGAGCTGGAAGCTGAAAACTGGCGACTCTGTAGTACAACTTTAGTACGCGACTTTGTAGTACAACTTTAGTACATCAGGGAGCATTGACCTTGCACAGGTGGCGCTGTGTTGGTCAAAAGTCCGGAGCGCACGCGTCTGACTGAGGGGCGCGAGGGACACGCATGGTGGAAAGAACCGGGACACTCCTATAGGTCAATTTGTTCTTATAGGAAACTTCCGCCGCCGGCTTGCCCGGGAACTACTTGTAGATGTTACAGGCAGCGCAGTGCCTGGGATTATTTTCACCACTGAGATGCTAGCTTTGCAAGTGCACTCAATACGTGTTCAGTATTCTTACCTCCAAGAGTACTGGTACGTTACAGCATTTAGTTTGCAACGGGATTCACATCGGAGCCCCGTCCTTTCTTAGCCTTCCGATGCAGATTGTGAAACAAGAAGTTCTTCAGTTCCAGCCACTCGATATCAACTCTCCAAGATTCATTGAGAAACAGAACTACATAGGAAACCATGCCTCTTGCTTCCTTCGGGGAAGTGTGCGGGACCGATTCCAAGCCGTCTGACAAAGCAACGCAAAAGAAAACAATCAATCCATTCCCAACCGACAGTATACAGTAAGTCCCACTTTCCAAATGAAAAACGGTTACGCCGCTATGCCGAAAACAACCGGACACAACATCATACCATGAAAACGACTGCAATCTAATTGGAACAATGACAACCTAATGACAACGATGACAATCTAATGGATAGCAAGACAAACACAGAATGCGCTTGGCATCTTCGTGTCATGTTAAGCAACCACAAGAAACAAATCATACCTTCCTACCCCATCCTGACCCCCACCCTTCCATGATCACAATCTTGTAATAGCGATGACGATGACCCACATGTGACAAACATCATATCATTAGCATTAATTAGCCATGGAACATCAACAGCGCGAAACCACCAGGCGACTGAGGGAACTGCGGGCCACCATACACTGCATATAGTTATTTTGTGACTGCCGCACTGAACCACCTCTATGATCCTCTATGTAACGTAGATGATAACTTCTCAGCAAAACATTCCAACAACGCCCCCACCAACAAGCACCCGAAAGTCTTTGCGATCCCCAGAGCCCTGCGGATTCAAGCGACATTAGGTCCCGTCACACACCGGCGTCAGGGCAAGAGTGACGGTGAATTGGCACTGCGTGTGATGGTATCACGCGCCAGCAAGGACCGTACTGTCCGCCTGGCACGTTCTTGGAGAATGGGTGGTCACGGCTATCAACCTTCAAGACCTAAGTATTCAGTTTTGTTCACTGCTGTGGGGTGTACCTGTGTTTGTAGTTGGTGGTCTTGATATTACATGGTCATGTTTTCGGATCATCCAGGCAGGGTTTCCCCCCAATCCACACTCTGGGAAACTCGAGGGTCCGTCTCTTCAGCCAGCGACTGAGGGAGGGTCTTGGGCTCCTGGTTGGCTCCGTACGTATGTGGGATTTGACATGTCTCATGACCTACTTTGGACTTTTGACAGACTTGTATACCTCTGAACTTGTTTCTTGTTGACTAAGATTCGATTCTCAAAACTGACCAGGCGTGAAAAGCGACCTCTCACAGCTCCACTTGTTTGCTAGGTGGGATCCGCGAGCCCAGGCCAGGACCATACCAATAGCCAAGATATTGTGCGCAGTGACTATGTAGAAGTCGATCGACCAACATTTCAGCATGTTTCAACAACAAAGCAAACTGCATCGTGCTTTTGTGTGTGCGGTACATAGTATATATTAAACATGGCACAAGAGCAGCATCGGCTATTGCACGCCTTCACTGCGACAGTACTTGGAGTCACTGCTGTTTGCATTGCAGCAGCTTTTAGATCTTTTAGAGCAAGATGAGCAAGCAACACCACACTACAAATGTGATAAAGCTCCTGATGTTGTGATGGTGAAGCATTTCATTGTGAGAACATATAGCAGACTGAGACCCTTCAAAACATGCAGGAAGCATCAAGAAGCAGCATCCAGCAATTATTCAGATTATTCAGGTGCCGGCCGCAGCGCGCAAGAAAACAAGAAGCGGTAGAAGACCAACGCGCAAATCACACGACATGAGTCATGAGCTGACAGTTGCATGACTGAATGGCGCCAGCATGAGCAGATCCGTGATCCTCGCTGTTCAGCCCAAAGACCAAAGTTGAGATCAGTTGATCAATCTCCCAGCATTGGAATGTTTGTATTGTGGCAATGTTGCTTGACTGCTTTATCCAGAGCTGCTAATGTGTCCGTTCAACCACCCTTTCAGTACCATGCAATACCTGGGTTGTTTCCTCCGCACAAAAGGTTTCACTCGAAACCATGCCAAATCGTGTATCCCTGCGTGACATACCGTGATGCCGAATTCAGTGTGTTGCAAGGAGTTTGTTAAGGCAGTTTCCCATGATTTCCCATGACTAATTACATCTAATTACATATCAAAACTCCAAAACATGCAGGCCAAACTGTGCTGCTTTTTGATCACGTACGTGGGCCTGCCTTGATGAGAAGGCGGGCTGCCTTCATTTCAGCTCTTGTTTCATTACACTTGTTGTCGCGATCTATTCCTTGCTGAGCAACAGTGTGAGGCTGAAGATTGAGCAAGGGTGCATTTTGCGATCCAAACTACGGTTTGGTTTCTGATGATGGCTTTTAGGGCTCAGACGCAAAAGCTGATCTCAAGATGTGATTTTGACACATGTTGGCATCGTTTCAATCGTTTCTGCTGTTTTTCCTAACGCTTTGCTTTGTGCAGCGCGCATTCTCAGCAAGAGAGCTGCAGGCAGTTCAAAGCCGCATATCAGATACCTCGCCAAGACATCACATGATTCCTACATGTGTTTCTTAGACAGGTTGATGTGTCACTGGATGTTTGCTTCGATTAACAAGCATGCCAACTAGTGCATCGAAAATGACTTTCTAGTACTATACACACACACGAGTACTACAGTAAAGTTCGCAGAGAGCCAAGGACCAGATTTGTTTAGCCAAAGAAGTAGCAACTTACAGAAGCGCTTAAACATCTTAAAGAGCAAAACGGTGGCCTTTAACTTCACTGAGTTCAGCTTCTTGGGTACATAGCTTTTCAACAGTCAGTGGTCGGCGGACATGGCAGCTGTGCAACAGCATCCCTTTTTGGGCATCAGACTGCAGGCTCCTCCGCAGGTTTGTGTGCTATACAGGCTCCTTCGCAGGTTTGTGTGCTACACAAGTGAATTGCATTTCAATTCCATGACTGTATGACTGTCCAGTTTAACTGTCCTCTCAAGAGAAGTGCTTGGTGCTTAGAAGTGACATGGGTCAAGGCAGAGCGGCCAAGAGAATGCAAAGAGAAGCTGACCGCCACGGGCTTTGCAAAGGACTGTTTGAACGCCATGATGCGTACAACTTCTCAAGCAGGGTTGCAATGTTGGGTGAATATATATATATATTATATATATATTGTTTTCACAAAAGCATCTCCGATGCTTGGGCTCTCGTTTAGTCGCTAGTGCCGCGGAAGAGCGAGACAAAGCATGCGTTGTCGGGGACGGAAGATGGATGTGGAGGTGGACGGGGTTGGGAAGGGAAGAGGGAGGGGAAGGAAGGGAGGGAAGATGGAAGGGAGCGAGACGGGAGGCGCATGGGTGGGGACGGGGCTGGGAGGGAAGATGGAGGGGAGCGAGACGGGAGGCGCATGGGTGGGGACGGGAAGATGGAGGGGAGCGAGACGGTGGGGACGGAGCTGGGGAGGGAAGATGGAGGGGAGCGAGACGGGAGGGCATGGGTGGTGACGGGGCTGGGGAGGGAAGATGGAGGGGAGCGAGACGGGAGGCGCAGGCCGGGCTATCAAAAAGAAAACAAATATATATATATATAATATATATATATCAAAAAAGAAAATGTCTATATCCTATCAAAAAGAAATTATTTATATCAAAAACAAAATATCTCTCACAAAGAGCTGTGCCTGCCACTGCAAACCGCCTTGGCAGCGCTGCGCGATGTGAATCTGGATGCGCAGATTTCGTGGCACGCGCAGCACTTTGAGCATCTCCAGTAGCAGATTTCGTGGCAGGAGCAGCACTTTGTGCACTGGAACTGCAGATTTCGTGGCAGGCGCAGCACTTTGAGCATCTCCAGTAGCAGATTTCGTGGCAGGAGCAGCACTTTGTGCACTGGAACTGCAGATTTCGTGGCAGGAGCGGCACTTTGTGCACTGGAACTGCAGATTTCATGGCAGGTGCAGCACTTCGTGAACCTCGAAGTGCAGATTGCGTGAACCTCTGTCTACAAGCGCAGACTTCGTGGCAAGCGCAGCGATTGCGAACCTTGAAGTGCAGTTTGCGTGGCGTTTGCAAAATTCTGTGGATCTCAAGACCTGTGAAAAGAGCTCTTGATATCTCTGGATCTGAACATCTTTCTACACCATCTGCAAGTCTAGACCCCTAGAACTTAGATTTCAACACCTCCTGGATCTCAAGACTCAAGACCTCTAAACCTCCATCCTCTTCAAAAATTTTGCCCTCAGGTGGCTCACAAAAGGTTTGCTACCTTGGAATGGCACTTTCTTCGTCTAAATTTTGCCGTCAGGGTGGCTCATCAAAAAGGTCTGCTACGTCTGGCGATAAAAGGTCTGCTACGGTGCTTCACAGGATGTATGACCAGATTTCCAAATCACCTTGAACGCGTCTTGCCTCGAAAGTACAGAAGGACCAGAGGACCAAGGGACCAGAGGACCAACGGACCAGAGGACCAAGGGCAGGGGACCAAGGGACCAGTACAAAGGGACCCAAGGACCAAGCGACCAGGGAACGAGCAGAGGACCAAAGGAGTAGGGGGAATTTTATTCCCCACCTGCCAGGTGAGGGTTGTTAGATTTTATCGCAGTTGTTCTTCCTCCTCCTCCTCCTCCTTCCTTCCTCCTTCCTCCTTGCTTCCTTCATCGCCAATCTTCTTCGCCAATCTGCTTCGCCGATCTTGTCTGGCAAGACCTTTTGTCAGCCTTGCGAGGTTAAAACTTAGAGGAAGAAGTTGCCATTCCAACGTAGCAGGCCTTTGTTTTGTGAGCAACCCGAGGGTAGAACTTGCTATTCCAACGTAGCAGACCTTTTGTGAGCCACCCGGGGATAAACTGTAGGTGCCACGCCAAGGTACAAAGATGGGCCCCCCTAGTTGGAGAACTTGTAAAGCGCCGTAACATATGTTATAACATGGGTTAACTGATGTTGTAAGCTGGTCTAAGATTGTGAAGTGTTCTAAGTTCTTGGTGGTATTTACGTTGCAGTTACAAATTACTTTCGATATATATAAGTAAGTTATCCTAGTTTATGTTGGAGGGTGCTAAATTAGTGCTAAATCACTTACAACTTACTTAGGGAACTTAGGTTCTTGCATTGAAAAAACTATGTTTTTTGTGGACGGGTTTGCAGAGAAGCGTTTTTTAATGTTTTTTTTGTGTACTCTTCTTTTTTGTGTAGAACTGAGACTGATTAGCATATCTTTGTATTTTGTGTTGTTTTGGAAACATTTTTTCTGTTTTTATGGGCGCGATTGTTTTTTATGTTTTAGTCGTGAAAAATTTGTGGGGTGGTGGTCCACCCGTACGACAGAGTAGTACTTTGCACACAGAAACACGTAAACATGCAACACGCACACGTAGTAGAATATAGTGTAACGAATCCATTATGTAGGCCATGGAACAACTAGAAGCCATTAAGCTGGATCACGCCCCAAAATTGAGGAGTAGACCCTTGCCTGTCCGTGACGCATCACAAGGCGCACACACACACAGTCCCTCAAAAGATCTGATGATGAACAAGAGGCTTTATGTACAGTAGATGTACGGTAATGTACGGTAGATGTACGGTAGATCTCCCGTACATCTACCGTACATCTACCGTACATTACCGTACATTCCCGTACATCTACCGTACATTACCGTACATCTACCGTACATCTACCGTACATTACCGTACATCTACTGTATAGCCTCTTGTTCATCAGGGTGCGCCGCGTTTTTTGGGCACCGGCCACAACTTTTTGGACGGACCACCGCGATCAAAATTTTTGGACGGACCACCGCCATCATCTTTTTTGGACGGACCACCGCCTTCAATTTTTTGGACGGACCATCGCCTTCAATTTTTTGGACGGACCACCGCCCAGCGTGTTCCTAACACACAGATGTAGGTCATTGTGTGTGTTCTGTTTTTCTTATGCGTTTTGATGGTTTAAAGTAGAAAGTGTTTTTCTTTTAGCGCGGTGGTGGTCCACCGAAGAAATTCGAAGCGCATTTTTTGTTTTTTTGTTTTGCTTTTTGCTTTTCTTCAGCAAAGCGGCGCGGTGAGTGTTCTACATTAAAAACCCTTGCAACAGCAGCGCTTTCCCAGGTAAAAAGCATAGTTTTTCGATGTCCTTCGGCTTGGGCCTTGCTACTGGGAAACCTGAAAAGACATAGTTTTTGAACATCAAAAATCACCAATTAGAACTTATAGAACTTAAAAATAGTTACATTTAAGTTACATCTTACTTACGAAGCCCTCCGGCTAACTTAGTTTTAAGTAATTTGTAACTTCACCAAGTAAGCTACAAGTGTTTTAACTAGGGGGGCCCATCTTTGTAGCAGACCTTTTGCGAGCAAAATTTAGAGGAGCAGTATAGACCTTTCGTGAGCCATGCGAGGGCAACATTTACCGGAAGCAGACCTGTTGTCAGCGTAAACTTTAGAGGAGGAAGGTGCCATTCCAACATAGCAGACCTTTTGCGAGCCATCCACAGGTCTTGTGGTTTGTGAGCCATCGTGAAATTCAGAGAGATCACGGTTGAGATATCTACAAGGATCCAGAGGCCTGGAGATCGACACAGATCTGCAGGTGTAGAGGTCTAGAAACCCACAGACCTTGCACCCCTGGACCTCAACCGCAAGGATCCGATCGCAGTGTGCACCC